TGTGCGCGCAGCCCCCCGTGAGAAGGGTATGCGGCTAGGGAGCCCCTAGCCTGTTGAGTCCGGATTCGTCTATCCGAGTCCGGGGTCTTTAAGTGACCCTCGCACTGAAATGGCGCCATGTGGACCGGGCATCTTAAGTGTAAGAGACGCGTAATGTGGTATGGCGTTGAAGCGGACAAAAGCCTTTCGTCCCAATAGTGCTTGATATTCACTTTTAAATGGGACGATATGGAAAATTAACTTTTCGCGTCGAAAATTGTTCGGCAACCCGAACACGACTTCTAGTAATATCGAGCCTGTGCACTTGGCGTAAGGGCCTGGCGCAACTCCTTTGAAGGAAGTGCGGCTGTGTCGAATTTTGGTAGGGTCTATCCCCATCCGACGGATTGTGTTTGAATATAGCAGGCTTAAGTCACTGCCTCCGTCCATTAGGACGTTTGTGAATTGTAGTCCGTCTATTACCGGATTCAATATTAGGGGAGTCCGTCCCGCGTTTCGAACACTTCTGGAGTAGTACAGGTGGTCGAAAGTGATTGGTTTTGATATCCAATCTCTACGGTCTGCTGGGTTGGACCGTGCGAGGCTCTTTTTAGAAAGTGCCGCGCTGTTTTTCCGTGTCCTCACATAAAGTGAGTTTACTGCTTTGACCCCTTGGGGGAAAGTTTTTTGTTTTCCGGTGCCCTGCTGGCGGGGTTTATCTTCTTCGCTTGACGCGTCGAGCCCCTTGTGTTCGGCGTTTAATCGGCCGGACTGTTTGAAAACCCAACAATCCCTATGGGTGTGATTTGCGGGCCTTCCGGGGGTACTGTGGATTTGACATATCCGACCCAGAATTTTGTGTAGGTTGGACAGTTCGTCGCTGTCAACCTTGAGGGGCTGAGCTTTATTATTTGGCCGTGAGCTTTTAAATCCGGCGTTGACTGCCGTGCTCTTTGGGCTTTTCTCTTTATTCCGGCGCTGCTCTTTTCTGCGCCGTGATTTTCCATTTCCATCTCTTATCTCGGATGTACTTGGGTCGCTGGTGCTGCATCTTGCCAGCCAGCTATCCTCTCCTGCACAGAAGCGGGTCATGAGGCTTGTTAATGCGGTCATTGTCCTCGGTTTCTCTTGACCGAGGTGTCTGGCGAGCCATTCGTCTCGGACATTGTGTTTAAAAGCTGCTAGGGCTTCGGCGTCCGGACAGTCGACTATTTGGTTCTTTTTGGTAAGGAACCTGTTCCAGAATTTCCGCGCTGACTCTCCGGGCTGTTGAGTTATGTGGCTTAGGTCATCTGCATCCGGAGGCCGGACATAAGTCCCTTGAAAATTTGCTCTAAACGCTTCCTCGAGCTCTTCCCAACTTCCAACAGTATTTTCTGGGAGGCTTTTGAGCCAATGACGGGCTGGCCCTTTGAGCTTGAGGGGTAGATATTTTATGGCGCGGAGATCATCTCCTCTGGCCATATGTATATGCAGTATATAGTCTTCTATCTAGACTCCAGGGTCTGTTGTTCCATCGTAGGCTTCTATGTTTATGGGTTTGAACCCTGCTGGGAATTCATGATCCAGCACCTCGTCGGTGAAGCATAGTGGGTGTGCGGCGCCCCTGTACTTGTACGTGCCGCTATCGTCGGACACTTGACGTGTTCCTTTGCTTATTGGGGCTTTCCTTTTGGGTCCGTAGATGGACCTGGCTAGGCCATTGGACGGTGGGGGCTTTATGGCCTCCTCGTCAAATTCTGGGAGCAGCTTGCGCTTCGGGTAGCTCTTCGATTGGTGGCCGTTGCCGTGTTTATCTGCGGTTTTGAGTACTTTGCTCCATCTTATTCGGAGCGCGTCTTCCGCTGTGTTGAGCTTCCGTTTTTCCTTCTTCAGGCTTCTTGCTGTAGCGATGAGCCTGTATTTGAAAAGCTCTTGTTCGACGGGCTCCTCGAGTTCGTCGTCATTGCGACTTGTTTCGTCTTCGGAGGGAGGTATATAGTTATGATCCTCGACCTTTTTTTCTGCCGCCCTTTCGTGAGGGTTTGTTTCTGCATCCTCCTGCGCTGAGTCTTGCTGGAGGGGTTTGTCTTCGGCACTCTCTGGGGTATTGTTATTTCCTGTGCCGGAATCTCCATTCTTGTTGTGGCGGGATTTAGAGCAGCGCCGCTGACGGCGGCGTTTGGGCTGCTTCTTTAGAGAATCTTCCTCCGCTGCTTTTTCGCAATCCCCTTCTTTTGGGGTATCCACCATGTAAACGTCATATGACGAGGTGGCCTTCCAGTGCCCCGTGGGTGCTGGGTCCTGTTCGTCTCCGGCATCATCGTCCATAGCGTCGATGTCATCGGAGTCGTAGTCTAGCATGTCGGTTAGATCCTCGACAGTGGCTACAAAGTGGGTGGTGGGTGGGCTCTGAATTTCTTTGTCGTCCGAACTCCAACCGTCCTGGCCATAGTCCGGCCAGGATTCTCCTGATAGCGAGAGATGCTTCAGAGAATTCAGGATATCGCCAAAAGGCGAGTGCTGAAAGATGTCCGCGGCGGTGAGTTCCATAACCGGCGCCCAATCCGGTTTAATTGGCAGGGGCGCGGGAGGCTCGGAGTCCGGCGAGGAGTCCGGCGCCTCGGGATCACGAGTTCCGCAGGGGACGAGATCGGTATTTGGCTCCATCGCCGTGGATGTTGAAGCCCCCAGGGCGGCGTCTATCCACCGGCCCTTGTCATGGGCGATCGGCTCCGGGCTAGTAGCCGGAGCGGATTCGAGTGCGGCCACCAAAGCACTGTCCGGCGGCAGAGCTAGATCATGCCCATCGTCACAGTGCGGCGCGCTTGGCAGTGGCTCGAGTCCGTCGAAGATCAAGTCTCCGCGGTCATCGGCCGTGAAGTTCAAGCTTCCGAATCTGACCTGACGGCCAGGGGCGTAGCTTTCGATCTGCTCCAGATGGCCAAGAGAATTAGCCCGCAGTACAAAGCCGCCGAATACGAAGATCTGTCCGGGGAGAAAAGTCTCACCCTGGACAGCATTGATGGTTGAAGATGCCATCGAGCCTATCGGGGACGACACAGGGGAACTCTCAATGAAAGCACCAATGTCGGTGTCAAAACCGGCGGATCTCGGGTAGGGGGTCCCGAACTGTGCGTCTAGGTGGATGGTAACAGGAGACGAGGGACACAATGTTTTTACCCAGGTTCGGGCCCTCTCGATGGAGGTAAAACCCTACGTCCTGCTTGATTAATATTGATGATATGGGTAGTACAAGAGTAGATCTACCACGAGATCAAGGAGGCTAAACCCTAGAAGCTAGCCTATGGTATGATTGTTGAGATGTAATGTTGTCCTACGGACTAAGGCCCTCCGGTTTATATAGACACCGGAGAGGCTAGGGTTACACAGAGTCGGTTACAATGGTAGGAGATCTACATATCCGTATTGCCAAGCTTGCCTTCCACGCCAAGGAAAGTACCTTCCGGACACGAGCCGGAGTCTTCAATCTTCTATCTTCGTAGTCTGGGAGTCCGGCGGATATTGATAGTCCGGCTGTCCGGACACCCCCTAGTCCAGGACTCCCTCAAGGAACATTGGCATACTCATGAGCACCAAGTTTACAAGAACCAACCTCCCTGCATAAGGTAAGAGTTTGCCGTTCCAGCAACTCAGATAGACACGTACTCTATGCTTATCTCTGGTCAAGAGGATTGTGGAATTGAATTGTTTCCGAATCCGAATAGAACATGTTCATTAAATTGTTGATCCAACCAAGCGACCATTGAACGAACTTAGATGATGTGGATTCACGTGTGCCTCAACGAAAAAACAAGTATTGTGCTTTCAGTATATTATAGATAGATTGTTAATTGTGAGATCTTTAGCTATTTAGATGATGATTTCTTTTAGCTATTTTCAGTAAGAATAATCACTGTTCAGATTATTTTTGAAATTTTTCTGTTCAGAATGTGATGGTATTTACTAGATGTTTGATCTAAGCAAAATATACTTTAAAGGAGTTTGTATTTTGTATTCTCACTGGAGCTTGCAGGATGTTCTTCTTTTAGGTCGGTGTGGAACTTTTAAGTTTTTTGTCTCATAAATATAAGACATAGAGCTGGATGAATCGTCTGCCGTTTCAGTCTTTTACCCAGTTTCCTTCACCTTGAACAATTAATTAGGCTCTCTATAAAAATAATTTAGCTCTGGACAGCAAGGGAGGCACTAATCAAATCACTCGTGTGCATCTTGGTTGTGTGTTCATTCTAAAATGTGCCAGTTGTTGAGATGGTATCGTATTGAATAAAGGCCGCTTCGCTCCGTCTAAGTTCTGGTGTCTACCACACAGCTGTCCATAGGTGTAGCAGTTTTCAGGCTTGTATTTCTTATATTTATTTTTTCGTTTTGTTGGCAGTTCATATTGTATTTTTGTTTCCAGTCTTGTATTTTGTATATGTTTTCATAGTTTTCATATTGTCTAAGTTCCTGAGATGTCGTGTCTAAAACAAAAACTGCATTGTACTTTTAGTATATAATAGATATGATCACGACAATATTATCATGTTCCACTCTACCTTATAAACTGTGACAAGTTTCATATCGACCTGTAAATTGTAACAAACCGATAGAATTTACAACAAACCAATCGTTTGATGATCACACCGAAGATGACACGAAGCGAACACAGTCGATATACAAATACCATGTTTGCTATTGCTAAGCACAACCAAAATCCATCAATACAGAACAACACTTGTACCACCAGCTCACAGCGATCCAAGGCATATTTTACATGCTGAGGCAGTGGCAGATTAAGTGTTTTCCTTGAGCAACATGTTTTTTCTTCTCAAGTGGAGCACACGTCACTGCTATCATTTGGTCGATCTTGAGGAACAACCTCCGACACGTCTACGACACCAACTAATGTTCCACCCCTTTCATTCTTAACATATTGAAAGAACAAGTAGTTATCCTCTAAAACGCCGCAAACTCTGGTCAAGCAGGGCACACAAGTTCTACCTTGATGGTGATTCGTTACTTGTGCCAGATTTTTAATCTCATGGATTTCCCCTTGAATCTGACTTCCCTTTGTTCCCATCCATGTACCATCTCTTCAATCTCTCCTCGGTAACCTCTACCTGCAAAATTAGATAGAATAGAAGCCATATATGAGTGTATCTCCTACACCCTTCTAGTCTAGCACACAATATATACTTATGAACTTCTGTAAAATAGGTTAGATATATGGAGACTTTTTTTTTTTGAAAGAAGACACATGGAGACTTTACTTAACAATGTTTCAGTGCTGTGAAGATTGAACCGTTAACAAAGCTAACCTGTTTATCCCAGTCAGTCCTGATTGTTATGAACACAAGTACAATTGTTTGGACCAGTGTTCCGAGCAGCATGCCAACCCAAATGCCCTATAGCAACAACCAAGGAGATCGAGTAGGACCACAACTTATTAGAGCCAGGAGGCACAAGGACAATGATTTCAGTAACTGATTGGCTGATACACCAGCATCACCTGACAATAATTATCTTACCATCACATGATATCCAAGAACATAACCTAGGATTGCTCCAAGAGGGATACCAATCAAGTAATATGTTGTGATGTTGACATAGGCAACTACACTTTGCCAACCCGCACCAACAGCAACACCTACAGGATGATCAATCGAGGCAATAGTTTTAGTAAACCAAACAAATCTTATACTGGTATAAAAGGAAAATGTTTTGCCTTGTTTAAACAAGAAAAAAATATTAACAAGACCCGGTGATTGTAATGTATATGCATTTGGAATTCAGTCAAATGCTAAAGCAAACCTGATAGCACTGGTTGAACACTGTTCAACAAGATGGAGAAGGCTAGAAGAGGCGACAGCTCAGCAACTGCGGCAGCTACCTCTTCACTCGTAGTAAATATGTAGGAAAGCTTTCCGCGGAAGAAAAGGAAAAACACGAACAACACAAGGCCTATTGAGAAGGAAGTGGTGACGACATTTATGATGGCGAACTTGGCCCTTCTTGCACTTCCAGCTCCAAGCTCATTTGCCACACGCACTCTATAACACACAAATCACTATCATCAAAAATCTGAAAACCTATTCAATAACATGATACGATTAATCTCCATATTTCTAAGATGAACAAGTTACCCTGCTGCAGACAAAAAGCCAATAGAAATCATCATCTCCCAACCATTGATGTTAAGGCTGCAGATTTCACAGGTAGAAATCAGATTACTTAACTAGCTCATATGCGGTGACAGGGAAATACTATGAAACAGTGAAATGACATATGTGGACCAGTGATTAACTACTGACCTATGAACTAATAGCAATATCCAGTGTGCATGGAAAAACCAAAGCTTATGCAATAAGCTTCAAGAACAATGAAATAGTGAAATAAATTAGTATGTATTACCATATTGAAAGAGCGTCAAGTGCAACCTCTGCATTCTTCATGTACCCGGTAAGGAGCACCAATATGGTGCTGTACCACAATTCCAAACTGAAAAATGCAAACAAGAAAAGACATACAAAATTTTAACAAGGACAGTAAAGTATAAAATGTAGGCGCGCACTTGGTCCACAACTGAAACTGCATAATATAATGGAACATCAAGTTTGTTCATACCAGAGCATGACACCAGAGGATAGAGATAACTTGAGGATAGGGACAAGGTCGGTGAGTGCTGTGAAGGAGAACCCGGTCCATGTGAGAGGGCAGCCACCAAAGAAGACGAAGATGAGCTGCCCAAACACAGGAATCCACATGGCAATGACCATGGAGGTCATGGCCCCAGCGAGCCCAAGGTGCAGCCTGACGGTGAAGAGCCACGGCAGGAACACATGGAGACCGAGGGTGACAAATGCAAGGTAGGTGATGACCATGTTCTTGCTCTGTGCCTGCAGGTACATCTGGAGAGTGAAGCTGAAGACGTTGGCGAACATGACAGGGATGTACCAGAGCGAGATGGTCCCCGCGACAGCGCTGATCAGGGGGTCCTGGCCGATGGAGACAAGGAGAGGCTCAGTGAAGATGAGGATGGGGAGCATGAGCACGGCGCAGCCGGTCAGGATGATCCAGGAGCGCTGCAGGGAGATGCCCATCATGTGGTACTGCTTCGCCCCGTACGACTGCCCGCACAACGTCTCCAGTGTGCTCGCCATGCCCAGCTGCATTGCATTCAGTCTAAGCACATCCAACAATAGTTTTTCATAGATATACAATCGAGCAGTTCGATTCTTTGGCAGACAGATTGATGGAAGGAAGGAGCGATGAAAATAGCAATTGTTACCAGTATGCCGTTGCTGAAGCGCATGAGGACGGTGGAGACGAGGGCGTAGGCGGCAAGCTGGGTGGAGCCGATGTGGCCCATGAAGGCCTGGCTGATAACGGTGACCCCGAAGGTGGAGAAGCGCGTGCAGATGGCTGGCCCCGCCACCGCCCACAGCGTCCGGTTCTCCTCCAACAGCCGGCGCCCCAGCCGGGCCTCTCCGTCGCCGCTCACATTATGCTCCGCCTTCCTGTGCTCCAGCAGCGGGGCCTCCTCCCACTTCTCCATTGATTGAAGGCAGGTCTTTCGGCTCATCTTGCCTAGAATCTTGTTGCCTTGGAGAGAATCTGGTTATGGTGCTGATTAATGTGGTGATCCACACACACTAACACGCACGCGCTGCCTTGGAGAGAGCATGCTTGTTGGTGAATGCCATGACCCATGAGTAGCATTGTCACTGTCAGTGTGTGTCATTAGTCAGTAAGCACACCGGTTAAACAAGGTAGTAGATAGGATGCATCGATCTATCTGCCGATTGGCCGATCAGTCCCAACAGTTATTAATTGGCCGTACTTATATCAAAAGCTTTTATTTAGTTAATCCCTAGCACGTGTAGGAATCTTGCTTTAGCTTCAGATCAGAGATCCAGGGAATAGAGTATAATGTACCACTCCTATAATCCAATCCGACCAAGCTCACAAGTAGAACTATAGGAGTATACATATATATATAATCCAGGCAATTAGCTCCCATACGCATCTATGTTTCTTTAGCCTCACCGGGTTCTATCTTCTGTGTATGTCTCCATTTTTAGAGAAAGGGCACTTTTGCCGTGCTTCGTAAAGAAAGCA